GGTTTCTTTTTTTTTTAAAACAGGGGGGGTCCTTGGGAAAGGAAAGGGGGGGGGGGGGGGGGGGGGGGGGGGGGGCGCTTTTTTTCTGTATTGACCTTTGTCCTGTGACTGTACTAACTCATTTTTTAGTTCTAGCAACTTTTTCTAGATTCTTTGGCATTTTCTGTGTAAATAATCCCATCATAAATTTGAAGGGCACGAGGGAGTTTTGGGAGGTGACAGAACTTTTCTTTGCCCTGCGCGTGGCAGTAGTTACATACCTGTGCATTTCTCTGACTTCACAGATCTATACACTAAAAGGTAAATTTTACTGACTGTAAACTATACCCTAAAAAACCCTAAGTTTTAAAAACAATCTATGAGAGATGAATTTATCGCCTAATAGCAGCCCAGGTGAAACTATTGACAACCACCCACTTATTTCTCAATTGTACCCTTCTTTCTCCTATTCTGGTCCTCCAATAGTTTGATTCAGCCTGTTTGCTGCAGTGACCCCAGTAGTTAATGGTATGCTGGAGGTACTTAGTAACAGGTTAGGCTAGACCCGAGGTCAGCAAACTTTCTCTGAAAAGGGCCAGATAGTAAGTAATTTAGGCTTTGCAGGCCAGATTGTCTCTATCCAACTACTCAACTCTGCAGCTGTAGCACAAAAGCAGCCACTGACCAACATGTAAGTGAACAGGCATGGCTCTGCTGCACTCAAAAGTCATCCACAAAAGCAGACGAGGCTGCGTTTGCTGTGCGGGACACCTGAGATTTTTTTTTTCCTTTTTGTCTTTTTTCATGTCCGGCAACGGATCGGAACCCTCAGTGTTGCACCCGTACCGGACCGGGACCGGCAACAGGATCGCAAACCTCGGTGCTGCGCCCACACCTTGCTCAACCAGTGAGCGGGAACTGGTCTGTATGTGGGATCCGAACCCTCGGCGGGAGCGCCACCGCACTCCCAAGCGGCGCACTGTAGCAGTGCGCCACCGGGCCGGCCCAGGACATGCATTTCTTACCCCTGTGGTTTAAGTGTTCTGCACAAAGAAATAATATACCCACACTTAATTGCAATGTTATTAAATTTTTCAAGGGGAAAAGAATAGCGAAAAACAAGTCAAAGGGATCTGTATTTAAAAAGACCTGTTATTAACAACACCACAACTAAGTGTGGGTATATTATTTCTTGTGCAGGACACTTAAACTCCAAAAAATATCTGTTAAACACAAATAATTTTGATCACTGAGAGTACCTGTTTCTATTCTTCCATTAAACAAGGGGCTATGTCTAATGGAGAACAATCAAGGCACAAATGTGTACAACAGGTGCCCAGTTTACATGTACCCTTTGTAAACAGTGGTGGTCCTGCTGCTTGAGAGATGAGATGCTCACTGTCAACTGGGGCAGATTATACTCATCACTGTCATTTTTGTGTGTGTGTGTCTTTTTTTTGTGTGTGTGTGTGACCGGTAAGGGGATCGCAATCCTTGGCTTGGTGTCGCCCGCACCACGCTCAGCCAGTGAGCGCACCGGCCATCCTCATATAGGATCCGAACCCGTGGCGGGAGCGCCGCACTCTCCCGAGTGCGCCACGGGGCCGGCCCTATCACTGTCATTATAAACCACTATGAGCACCTGTTGGAACTGAAAATTAAAGAAAGAAAAAAAAATCAGGGTACCAAGAGGAAATGAAAAAAGAAAAACATGGTTGCATAATGTCTGTGTATCTATGACTCTATGAAGCCAAAAAGAGTACGGGAATGGATGGGGAAATGACGGCAGGTGAGAAAGCCAGATGGATGACAGAGTGACACAGGCACCTGGTGGGAGAGTAAGTCTCACCTACCCAGGACAGGTAAGTGGTAGACCACTCCATTTTCAACCTGACCATTTCATTCTGTTGACACAGATTTGACATCACCCAGACAATTCAGAGTTTTAAAGGAGATTTCACAACCATTTCATCAGAAAAATGGTCTTCCCTCCTGGAAGGAACCGGTATGTTTATTTTCACTATTACTGCAGAGAGATCGCTTCCTAAGATACCGTAACACTGAGGGCAAACCACTCCTCAGGATGTCTGGGCGCTGAGTCATGGTCCAGCAGGTGAGGCGGTGCTTTGCTGGTGTGCGTTCTTCTTCCTCGGTCCCACAGAGCCCCTCCCAACAATTGCAGGCTGGGGAGGTGGGAGGTGGGGAGTTGGGGGGATGGTCGTGGGCTAGGGGAGCACCCGGCAGGCTATGCACATGGGCAGCTGCGTGGCCAGCCCCTCTCCTGCCTCTTCTGTGTCCTCAGTGGGCTCTGCCGTGCACTCTCAGGAAGGAGTGAGCAGGCGGGGTCTCTTCCCACCAAGCCATAATTGACCTGCACAAATGTGTCTGCCACTTGCCAGACTCATGCTTCCCCAATGTATTTCTCCCTCTTACTGAGCTCTGCCCTTGATGGACACAAGGGAACTGCAGGATTAAGAGATAGATCAGGAAGGTGAATTTAGGCAAAAGCAAACCTTGCATCTTCCAGGCTTTCCGCTGTTCTTCTTTGGCGATTATTTCCATGTCTTTGTCATATACGTAGTCCTGACACAAGAAGCAGTATATACCTCCATATGTCAGATCTATGGCTGAAAAGAGAAAGGGGGTAGAGATAAAACGTTTAATTAAAAGTTAAAGAGGAACACTTCAGGACACAGAGTTAAACATGTAAGCAAGATTTTCAGACACTGACTGTCTAAATCACCTCCTGCTCATGTCCCAGCACCCTGGTCCAAAAGGACATCCTCCCACTTAGACCACCGGTCCTGAGCAGGTGAGGGGTGAGTACTTTCCTACCAATGGCTGAGGAATCGAAGAGAAGTGCCAATCCATACTTTACAAAGGACCTAATATTCAAGTATCAGAACCTCTGCTGCCGTCTCTCAAAGTGTGACATTTAAAATGAATAAAATTTCATTGGTTATTTTAAGTCCATAAGTATTCCTGACAGGAATCGTGACATACAGTAACTATGCTTTACTACATCTAGAATTCCTGATACTTTACAAAAAAGAATGCAACAGCCATCTTCTGTTACCTCTGCTGTTGGCAGCTATTTGCTACACTGACTTTAAGAACAGAAGTAAAATAGTTTCTACCCGGAAAACCTTGACATCTGGACCCAGAGATGCCTGCTGCCCACCTGCAGGTGGGTCCAATGCACTTTCCCAACTACATCATCTATAAAATAGGAATAATATCAGCGTTCTTAATCACTTATTATAAAGATAAATAAGATGAAGTCCTTTGAGCATCTGGAAGAAAGGTACTCTCAATTAAATAATAAAAAAAAATAGGGGGGGCTTAAATTCATAAAGACGTAGCAGATGCTGGGAGGCACTGAAACAGAGTGGAGAGCACTGATTTAGAACAGCTGGTATCAATCCTAGCTCTGCCACTTGCAAGTTATGTCCCTTTGACAAATTACTCCACTTCTCTGAGCCTCAGTTTCCCCTTTGGTAAAATAGTGATAGTAATGGTACTAATGCCTCACAGGTCTGTGTGAAGATTAAGTTAGCACATACAACTTAAGTATGCCTCCTGATAAATAGTGATGTCTTTTCAAAAAATCAGTTCTATTTTATTTCGTCTTGAGTTACTACATCCTAAATTAATATTATGGTAGATCTGTAAAGTCCTCTAAAGCAGATCTATTAAAACTCAAAACAGCAATTTAAGAATTCCATAGTTACCCTTTGCCCCCCTCAAAAAACTGGCAAAATTCCAACAAACTGAAGTATTTTAAAGTCTTCCTCAGAGCTGTCACAGAAAGTGAAGCCAACTGTCCTTTGGCACTACATATTCACGAGCAGTGCCACTCTCAGTGTGTGGACATCAGGGAGAAATCTGTCAGACACAAGCTTACAGTAAGGAAAGTGGGATCTTCAGGCAAGCAGAGGCATTCACTGAGTATGCCACACACACAGCCGACAACAAAAATACCAGCTGAGGGAAGGGGCACAACCACCCAGAGCATGTTGAAGTCCTCCTAGATTAAGCCCTTCTCCAAGGCGCTTCCACATGGCAACACTCCCGCTGTGCAAAGCCAACTGATGTTGAAAGGGTGCCGTGAGTGTTCTGGGGACAGAACAGTCCCTGTAACAAATAGCACTGGGACAACTGGATGTCCACATACAAAAAAATGAAGCAGGGTCCTTACCTCAATCCACATACAAAACTTGACTCAAAATGGATCACAGACCTAAATATGAGTGAAAAGCATGAAACTTTTAGAAGGAAAGGAAATCTTTATGACCTTGCATTTTGCACCAAAAGCACAAGTAACAAAAGAAAAAGCAGGTAAACTAGACTTCATCAAAATTTAAAACTTTATGCATCAAAAGACTTCATGTCTTTAAAAGACATGATCAAATAGAACTACCATATGATTCAGCAATCCCACTGCTGGGTATGTATCCAAAGGAATGGAAATCAAGTCAGAAGGATACGTGTTCTCCCATGTTCATCGCAGCTCTAGCCACAACAGCCAAGATTTGGAACCAACCTAAATGTCCATCAGCGAATGACTGGATAAAGAACATGTGGTTCAAATATACACAATGGAATACTATTCAGTCATAAAAAGAATGAAATTCTGGGCCGGCCCAGTGGCGCACCCGCTTGGGAGTGCAGCGGTGCTCCCGCCGAGGGTTTGGATCCCATGTGGAGACCGGTTCCCGCTCACTGGCTGAGCGCGGTGCGGGTGCAACACCGAGGGTTGCGATCCCGTTACCGGTCAGTAAAAAAGACAAAAAGGAAAAAAAAAAAAAAATGAAATTCTGCCACGTGCAGCAAAATGCATGAGTTTGGAGAAAATTATGTTAAGTGAAATAAGCCAGGCACAGAAAGAGAAATAACCACTCGTAATGTGAAAGCTAAAAAAGTTGATCTTATAGAAGTAGAGAGTAGAACAGTGGTTATTAGAGACTGGCAAGGGGAGGGGAGGGGGCAGGGGGAGGAGAGGGGGAGAGAGTGGTCAATGGATAGAAAATTGTCAAGAGACAGGAAGAATAAGGTCCTAGTGATCTACAGCAATATAGGGGAACTACAGCCAACAATTAATTACTGCATAACTTCAAGTAGCTCATTGAGAGGATTTTGAATGTTCCCAACACAGAGATAAATATTTGAGGTGGTGGATTTGCTAAATACCCTGATATGATTGTTGCACACTGTAAAAATGTACCAAAATATCACATTGTACTCCATAAATACATACAATTATCATGGGTCAATTAAGAAAAAATAAATTAAAACAATTTTTTTTCAGAGACAGAAGTAAATTAGGTTACCAGAAACTGGGGGAAGAAATAATGAGAAGTTATTGCTTAATGGATACAGAGTTTATGTTTAGATTGATGAAAAAGTTTCAGAAATAGATAGAGGTGGTGGTCACACAGCATTGTGAATGTAATAACATGCAATTATATGCTTAAAGATGCTTCAAATGGCAATCCTTATGTTATATATGTTTTATCACAATAAAATAAATAAAAAGACATTACCAAGAAAGTGAAAAGACAACCTACCGAATGAGAGAAACTAATTGCAAATCATGTACCTGCCAAGAGTCAACTATCCAGAAAAAAAAAAAAAAAATATATATATATATATATATATATATATAAAAAAATGACAACCCATTTAAAAAACAGGCAATGGACTTGAACTGATATTTCTCCAAACATATACAAATGACCCAGTAAGCACATAAAAAATGTTCAACTTCACTGGTCATTAAGAAAATGCAAATCAAAGTCACAATGAGATACTACTTCACACTCACTATGATGAATATTTAAAAAAAGAAAAAAAAAAAAGAGGAAAAGAACAGAGCATGGAGAGGATGTGGGGAAACCTGACCCTCACACCCTGCTGGAGGGATGTAAGAGGGTTCGGCACCGTAGGGAAGGCTGGTTTCACGCAAGTGTTACCATGTGATCCAGCCATCTCAGTTCTAGGTACATATCTTAGAGAAATGAAAACTTACACCCACACAGAATTAATTACACATGAATGTTTACAGCAGCATTAGTCATAAGAGCCAAAAGGTCAAACAACCCAAATGTCCATCAACGGATGAATGGATAAAGAAAATGTGGTGTATATACACACAATGGAATATTATTTGACCATACAAATTGTAGCGATGAAAAACTAACACATACTACAACTTGGATGAATTTTGAAAACACGCTAACAAAAAGAGGCCAGATGCAAAGGGTCACATATTGGATGGTTCCATTTATATGAAATATCCAGGACAGGCAAATCCAGAGAGACAAAAAGCAGACTAGCAGTTGTCAGGGGATGGGGGGATGGGCAGTGATTAGTTAATGGACATGGGGTGCTCTGAGATGTGAAAAAGATTTAAAACTAGAGAGGCAGTGGTCACGCATCACTGCAAGTGTCCTAAATGCCACTGGACTGTACACTTTAATATGGTTAATCACATGTTATGTGAATGTCACCTCAACATAAAATTTAAAAACCCAAACCAACATCTACAATCAAGGTAGTTCCCTTGGAAAATTATTTCATAGTCCAAAGTAACTATTCTAAGGACAAAGCCTTGACTGTGCCAAGACAAAGGGCTGAAGTACTGTATAGGAATGTAACTGCCTAGAATGAGATTGAAACACTTGTCCGGTCAGTGTGGAGACGCGCCCTGTGTTGTAGGGGCTCTCCTACTGCTAGAGGATGATGTCTGCTTTTGTTTTTATACGTCAGTTTACTACTATCATTCTGTTCGTAAGAGCATCACCCACAATATTCAGGAAGACTCACTTTAGGCTTCTCGTGCTGCTCTGATTAAAACTGCATGCTCAGTTGAGTAAATGATCTAATAATCCACTTCAGGTCCCACTTGATCATGCCACCAGATATCCCTTAGATGAAGAAGAACTTGGCCACAAGGCAATCAAGGTTTCTTGTTCCTTGGGGCTAGCTGTTGAGCTCAGTTGGTTAGAGCGTGGTGCTGATACCGAGCTCCAGGGTTCAATCCCTGTGCTGGCCACCCACCAAAAAAAGGGTTCCCTGTTCCTCATACAACACTAGGCTGCTCAACTGAACTGCCTTGAACACCTGGCAGAACACCTTCCATCAAGTGATGAGCAAACACCAACAGTGCATGAAGCATACGAACCTGTCTGGGACGGTGGTGGGGTGGTGCAGCATGCACAGAGGAGGGAGAACCAGTGACTCCCCCCTCCTCATTTTTCTCATGCCAGTCTTAACACTTTCAAGCTTTGCTTTCCCACTCTCCTCCCTCCATGCCAATCTCCCAAGGAGCAGCAATCCAATCCCGTTAATTCACACTCAGGTATAACTTTACCTGTTACCTGCTTTAGAAGGACAGTAATTTAGGCATTAAAGTAAACCAAATGTGTTTTCCCTCCGTAATGTGGGGGAAGGGGGAGGGGAAAGTGTAGGGGAGCAGAAGATAGGTAGATAATAAATGTACTGCTTTAAAAAAAAAAAAAAAAAAGAGCACAGGCTTTGGAGTCTAACAAGCCTGGACCTGAATCCTGCCTCTGCCATTTCTTGGTTACATGATCTGGACAAGGTACTTAATCCTCATTTGCTCAGC